ATGCACTTTGACAAGAAGACATCTTGACGAAGAAATTAGTGACAGATTATCAATCAGATTGAGAGTTTTCTATGTACAAAATACATCTTTTTCGTAGACTAGACATCAGGAGGAAGTTCCAAAGTATTACGAATTCACGACTTTGCCATAATTTCCTATCCAAGCTTGGTCAAAATTTCCCCAAGTTTGCGAGATGATAATGCTTGGGTGTTTTAGAGACTGTACAAAAGACTTTTTAGAGAATCTTGATGCATCTTTTTTGGAAAATTAATGTATGGAGTAATATTTAGAAAAGTCTCTACTTTCTCGTACTTTTTGCAAAATTTAGTTGCTTTTTTGGCTCAAAATTCTCTACATGGGAAAAATTTCGTACTATAACAGACTCGCGAAAATTATTTTGATAAACAAAAAATTATCAGCCCATACGAAAAAGCAGTGAGCTAGCTTGAACGCGGTATCTCCGCGGCAAAAGCAAAGAAATTGAATTGACAGCTCACCGCAGACTGGTCCAGCGTTTACTCCTTGTGCTTCGTAAGCACCGTACTGTTCTTTGCCTTGACGTCGTTGACGAGTGGATGGTGTAGCTGCACCAAGTCCAAGCATTTGCGTCCAGATGTCATCGGTTTGAATCTGGAAAACGAGTCATATAAGGATTTGACGAAAGAAATGTGGGACCGAGCGGACTCACTTTGAACTCGACCATTTGTTCGTCAAGCTGCATCCAGATACCTCGCACATCCGTGTAGATGTTGTAGATGGCATAGAGCGAGATCAGTAAGGTGAACGTGGAAAGGCACAGCGCACCCGCTGTCGCTTTAGAAACGCTCATCGCTGAGGAGGGTGCTCGGACGAGATCTGCGCCCAGCGATCGCCTTTTGTAGTCCCCGTTCACAACCTGACCCATGTCGCCGCCTTTGTCCCTATATCAACTGGTTACCGTGTCCGCATTATCGCAATCCACTCTCTCTCGACATCACTCTCGCTTGATAGGCTGCAAGCGAAAGCCTTTCGTGACTGCATATGAAGGATAAGTAGGTCA